AGGCAAGAAAAATAAAGTGTACAGACTGAACAAGTAGATACCAACTGCCTCTATTCTCAGACAACAGGATAATCTGTGTAAAAATTCCCACAGAATCTACAAAAAAAGGTCCGAGAATTACCAGTGAATTCAGCAAATTCATAGCTACAAAGCCAACCTAGAAAAATGTCATTTCTATAGCATTCTATTTCTTTCTTTTTGTTGTTGTTGTTTTTTAAGATTTTACCTATTTATCTGACAGAGAGGGAGAGAGAGTGAGAGAGAGCACGAGCAGGGGGAGAGCTGGGGGTGGGGAGGGAGAAGCAGGCGCCCTGCTGAGCAGCGAGGACCCCGGGAGACGCTTCCCTGAGGGTGCCACCCAGGCATCCGTGGCATTCTATTTCTATACAACGATGGATTTCTATAAAGTATTGGAATATAGTATTGCTATGTAGTAATAGAAACTGAAATTAAATAACAGTCCTGTTTATAACAGAAACAGAAAATACTTATGTAGAAATCTAACAATACACGCAGGTCTCCATGCCTCGCCTCAGACACAGAGGAAGCAGTTAAAGACCTACGGGTATGCGGGGCTGGGAGGAGGTGTCAGTTCTCCCCAGACTGATCTACTACTGATTTAACACAATCCCAGTCCAAATCCCAGTGGGAACTTGTAGATAGCCACAAGCTAACTCTAAAATTTATATGGAAAGACAGAGAAACCTGGAAAAGCCAAAGCAATTTTTTTTAAAGATTTTACGTATTTATTCATGTGAGACACACAGAGAGAAAGAGAGGCGCAGAGACACAGGCAGACAGAGAAGCAGGCTCCATGCAGGGAGCCTGATGCAGGACCCAATCCCGGGACTCCAGGATCACGCCCTGGGCCGAAGGCAGGCATTCATCCACTGAGCCAACCAGACGTCCCAACAATTTTGGAAAAAGAACAAAAATTGGAAGATTCACACGACCCGACTTCAAGACTTACTCTAAAGCGGCCGTGACGAAGGCAGGCTAGTGCCTATTTCCTGAAGGGTCGTGCACACCATCAATGGCAGAACAGTGTCCAGAAACAGACACAAAACTCGGCCAAATGTGAGGATATTAATATGCAAAACGAGATTATCTCAGCCTAGACATCACACTTTGAACCAAAGTTAACGAAAAATGAGCCATAGGCTGAATGTAAACATGAAGCTATAAAACTTTGGAGGCAAACATAAACTAAAAATCTCTTCAACCTAGGTTATGTAAAAAGTTCTCAAACTTGACACCAGCATAATGATCTATTTAAAAAATTGACAAATTGGGCTTTGTTCAAATTTCATTAATTCAAGATAATGAAAATACTAGAAAGCCGGACTAGAAGCAAACACATACAAATCGTACACTCAGTAAGGATCGTGTGTGCAGGATACATAAAGAATTCCGAAGTCAAAAGTAAGGGTGCAAACAACCTGATGTTTTTAACTGGGCAAATATTTGAACAGCCTGCTCACAAAGGGGCTCTACTGATGGCACACGCACCCAGAAGGCGCTCAGCATCATCGGTCGTGAGGGTGTGGACCGCCGCGCCCCCTTCACTCCTACTACACAACCCACAACCGCACACGAGCTGTTACCCAAACAAAAACAAAACCTATGTTCATAGAAAAACCTGCATGTGGATGCTTGTTGCAGCTTTATTCATAAATAAACACCAAATCCTGGAAGCTGAACTCTCCCTCACCAGGCAGGTGGACAAGCCAGTGACATGAGTCCACACCATGGGATGATGAGACAAGCACGCTATATGCAGCCACGTGGCTGGATCCCAGCTGCACATCCTGCTGATGCCCAAACTCCCTGCTGTAGGGCCCAGCCCTGGGCATCCTGAGAAGCCCAGAGTGGCTGGAGCACGCTGGTGGGGTGGCCAGGGTGCCACACACGGGAAGCCCCAGGGAAATTTGGGCATGGTTCTGTGTCCTCATTATGATCGTAGCCACACCTACCGCCAATAGGAACTAATTTTAGCATGCACTAACTTAAAAATAAGTGTTAGAAAACGTACCCACGTTACTCTTGAACTCTAGTTAGGGTCGGGTGGTCAGCAGCCTGGCCCCTGACGGCCCGAGTCTCCAGCTCCTGCTAGCAGGCTGACCTGTCCACACCAAACACTACGGCCCACCTTAAAAGTAGGAATAGAAACCCAGGACACTGCTATTTGTGACCTGTTATGTGTGTTCCCAAAAGCTGCCAACCCCACCTCGCTCCTGCCCTGCCACCCCGGGCCCAGAACCCTTGCCAACGTGCCATCCATCCTGGCCTCCAGAGGGGCCATGGGTGCACAAGTAGTAACCAGCGACGAGGAAACACCAGGCCCTGCTCCAACCTCAGCGGGACCCGGGACCCCTATCAGCTCCAAATCTTGGTTCCTTCATCTTAAAATAGCAGACATTAGACCACAGGCCTTTTAAGTCTATGCCAGCTCTAAATTTTTATGAATTTATGAAGCCTGCCATAAACTTCTCATTTTTTCCAGTTTGTCTTTAAGAGATTGAAGATTGGAAATAAAAGCTGGATTTTCTTGTTATTGTGGCTTGATTTGTTTATTTTGCTGTTAGGGAATATTTTTAAACTTCAAAAAGAGTCTCTGATTCTGGAGTTTTAGAACCCCCACACCAGAAATGCAGTGAGAAGAACCCTCCTCATACAACCTAGCCTGCTTCCAATCCAAGGGAACTTCCAGAAACTTCTGTGGTCATAGGGAACCTGTTACAAGAGGTGGTGGAAGGAGACTTCAGTCTACAAGATGGAATTGGGGGGTGGGGCATGGGACAGTTCCCTGTGCCAGGGCAAACTGATCTGCAGCTTTGGCCCATCCCAGAGGGTCGCTCCCCAAACACACACCCACTGGTCCAGTGACAGGCATGGGGCTGTGGCCCCGGGGTCAGGGCTTCAGCCGTGTGGGGACCACTGTGGCTCATCCACGTCCTGATGCCCCAGGGGAAACTCAGTCTGTGATGGAGGGTAGGAAAGCTCCCGGGGACCCACAGAGGGGGTGTGCGGGGACACGCGTGGGGAGAACACATGTGGGGAAGGACATGTGTGTGAGGACATGCATGGGGGAGGACACGTCAGGGAGGATACGTATGGGGAGGATGCACGGGGAGGACATGAGGGAAGGACACGTGTGGAGGGACACACGTGGGGCAGTCCCTTGGGCTCCACTAGATGGGGTGCTCTGTGCACATACAACACATGCTTCTGTGTTTATAGTTGGGACACAGTTCAAAGATTCATGTTTAAGATTCTATTATCTCAATTTTGAACACGAAATAGAAGGAGAACAAGGCAGTCATCCTTCGCCCAGAGTAAAAGTCAAGCTGGCACAATGTTTTCCAGCTGCAGGCTCACTAGGACTGACAGAAAAATCCAACTTTAGGGGAAAAATTAATATCTGAGAATCTGCTTCCAAAAAAATGATAAATAATGAAGTATGGAAATAATTCCTCTTTGGAAACCATGATATTTCTAGAAGCTCCCCGTCACTAGAAGCCATGCTCTGCTCTAGACAGACAGACCAGCCGGGGCTCTAGGACGGGGCCCAGGCGCCCCCCCCATACTGAATATTCATGGAGATTAAACACAAATATGAACTTCCTCATATTTTTTTTTAAAGGAAGTGATTTATAAGCTCCTGATGTTCATGAGAACAACCACCTCAGCAGGGGTGAAGGCCTTGGGGGGCTGTGGAAGCTCTGCAGGGCCATGGGGGTCCCTACGGGGCCATGTGGGTGGTGGGTGATGGTGGGTGGATAAGAACCCCCAGGCTCCAGGCACAGGCATCCCGGGCCCCTCTGACCAGCCCAATGTGTCCCATCTGTTCACGCATCCGCCAGCACATAGTAGCACCCCATCCTGCCCTCTCCCTCCAGGTCATGCAGAGTAAGGACCTCTCAAGCTGAGGTGCCCTAGGGGCACTCCCACCCCCCCACCACACACACACACACAGCCCACTCGCCAAACAGCTGAGAACCAGGAATTCACATACAGACGGGGGAAGCTGCTGCCGCTGTCCAAGGATACATCCAGGTGGAAGTGGACGGGGAGTGGGCAGTCAGAAGCAGGAGGGCGCACCTGGGGGCTATCTCTGACCTCCGTCCTCCCTGAGGGGCGCGGCACCCACGGGGGAGCACTTGGTGGACAGCAATCCCCGAAGATGTTTTTGTGGGGATGGTGCAGGGCAGTGGCTGGGGTGAGACATGGCACCCATGAAAGGGGCCTACGGGCTCTGAGCAAGCTCATCACCAGCATGAAGGCGCTGATGAGCCACCATTCTGGGCCTGCAACACGTCTGCCCGACAGATGGGAGGATGCTCGCCAGGGGACAGAACTGCCCAGCAGATGGGGCTGGAGGCAAGGGCCTGGCGCAGGGGTCCCAGGAGGCCAGCAGGGGTGTGTGGGCTCACCACCCTGGGGCCGCCCGGGGAGCACGGCCTCGGGGGCACTGGGTGCTTGCAGCCCCTCCTGGGCCAGGGCTCTGTGCGCAGCCCAGAGGGCTCCACCTGGCCGCCCCGTCTTGCTTCAGCCTCCTGTGCCCCTTGCGAAGCCGACCACAGGACAGGGTCGGACAGGGCGCAGCCCTCGCGGCCGCCAGGGGCAGGAGAGCCCATCTCTGGAGAAGCCTGACCCAGAGCCCTGATTCCCTGTGTGCAACACCTGGGCCCGTGGACACAACTGCCAACCCTGGGATGCTCAGAGCACAATTCTCTGTCATTAAGTTAAAAACAAAACATGCTTAATGTTTATTAGGTTCTTCCACCGACGACTACAGCAGAGACTGCAGAATGACTGACACTCGGATCTGAGGTGCTCGGAGAAAGGTCAGCATCGTTCCCTACATACCACCTGCTAGGCCTCGTGCTGCGCCCAGGGCTATCCTGCAGCATGTCCCTCGAGGACCCGTGGTAGGGACAGACGACCACACCGCATGACGTGACAGGTGTGTGATTGCGGGCGGGGGGTGGGGTGCTTACCTCCAGCAGCAGCCGTCCCTCCAGCACCGCGGACCCTCCGCTCAGACCATCTTCTGGGGATTGGGCACTGGCCGCTGGCGGCCGTGGGCACTTCTGCACGGCTGTTAGACAAGAAGGGAACAAGGCTGTCAGCACCCTTCTGGGCTCCACACCCGCCTGCCCTCCCGAGTCTTCCCCGATCTTGGCTGCCCACCCTAGTGGACAGAGCCTTGTCTCCTAGCTGACTGGGGTGCACCAGGACAGCCAGGGCAGCCAGCTGGGAACCAGGGTGGTGTTCAGGAGAGCAGGCCATCTACCCTGGGCCTGACCCCCTAAAGTCCTACCTCAGGAGCCCCCTCCCCAGGATCCTCAGACCCCTCCCTGGAGACCCAAGCTCCAGCAGATGCCCTGACTTGGCACTGCTGGTCGACACAACTCTGACCACCCTCCAGGGTCCCATGTGACCTCCTCACGCCCCTCCCCCCCGCAGACCCCAGCTGTGGAGCAGTCCCCATGGACTGGAAAGGAAGTCCCAGGAAGGCCTGCCTGTGTGGCTCAGGTGTCCCCAATCCCCGGCCCCCGTGTGGCTTCATCTCCATTTTGGGGTGAAGACCCCAGATGTACAGACATGCAGGTCACACAAAGATGTCATGCACATCCCAGCAGAGCACGGGGAGTTGTGGAGGGTCCCCTGGGGCAAGGCAAGGGCCCTGGAGCCACCGCGGGGCATGGGCAGGGTGGGCAGAGCCTCCCAGGGCACATCGGGGTCAAGGGGCTCCACACGAGGCAGATGGAACCCTTGCGTGTGTTCTGCTCTTGAGAGAAAACCCGGCCAGGTCACTCTCCCTCATTTTCTCTTTCAGAACCAACAAGCTATGTGAGCTTCTCTAGGACATGTGGGTCTGGGGTGCTTGTGCTGTCGGGGCCGCCCGGACGTCACCCATCCTCACCCCACAGCAGCTGTACCATGCTGCTGGTGCACCCTGCCCCCCGCAAAGGGTCCTGTCGTGGCAGGTGAGCCCAGTGTCCACAGGGACAAAGCGTCAGAGGCAGGGGGGTGGCCCTCAGGAGAGCCCCACAGATGGCGGCACATCGTGGCCTGTGGTCTCTGGCCACCCATCCTGCCATCTGTCAGAGGGCTTTGCATTATCAACTGCCTGCCCGCAGCCAATAAGCACTGGACGCTCCTTCTCTGCACTAAATGTTTCCAGAAATGAGCCCAGAAGGCAGGTGTGTCCAGGGAGCAGGAGCAGCCAGGCCTGGTGCTGCCTGGGCTGAGGTGCAGGGGCAGGTGGAGCTATAGGCCGCCTCCTCTCCTCCTCACAGAAATCTCACCAGCAGCCAAGCTGGGTCTTCAGGGCTGCGAAACCCTGAGCTTTGAGCCATGACAATTGGAGGTGCATTGTTCTACCCTCCCCCTGACAGCCACCCTGTCCACTCAGTGCTCTGTCTGGAAGCCCGAAGCTCTGCCCCCAGCGCCCAGGAGAAGCCCCTGAGGGAATGCCAGAGGCTGACCCCATGACCCCAAAGGCCAAGAAAGATACAGGAGGGATAACCGAGGGAGTGCACGAGCCTTCGTCCCATCCCTCCCCACCCCGCCCCTAGATGACATCACAAGGGCCCCAGAGGGTCCTGTCCTGTTGCCACACCAGGGAGGCCACAGCTCCCCACAGTGCAGGGCTCACGGCCACGGGGGGCAGAGCTGGGGCTCGGTGAGGGCCAGGACCCCACCTTGGTGCCCCCTGGGCCCCCTGCCCACACACGCAGCCCATCAAGCCTCCCTCAGAGCAAACGGCACTGCAGGGGTCACTTCCTCCCTCACCCGGGCTCCAACAGCTCCTTGCCCCCAGCCTCAGGGCAGGGGGACCATCCCACCTGCCTGTTCTTGGTCCCTGCAGCCCCCGTGGGGGTGGGACAACGCCCACAGGTGTGAGCCAGGGTGGGGGGATCCCGGTGCAGTGACATCACCGTGCTGTGGGATGTGTGCCCCCGCAACTGATGGGCCAGGCCGCACCCACACCCCCAGAGGCAGAGTGCGGGGCACCCCCAATGTGTCTCCCCTCCCCACCGCATCTCTGGCTCTGCACCCCAGCATGGCCTGTCCCCCCAGCTGGGCACCCCCACTTCCCCTCCTCCGCAGCCACATCCCGGTGGGGCACGCCCGGCGGGGCCTCCTCTGGGCTCCTGTCACGCGATGGGGCCGTCAGCGCCGCAGTGACAGCCACCTGGATCCCGGCCAGGGCCTCGCGTGCGAACAGAGCCGCCAATGCGCCCCACCCCCAGGCCTGTGGCAAGACAGAAAGAAACCAAGCAAATGCAGGAGCCGGGGGCGGGGGCCAGCTTTCCCGGAAATCCATGTGAGCTCACAGCACCACACTTCCCAGGTCCCCGAACTCAGGCGCCCGCAGGGAACTGAAACCAGGCAGGACTCCAGTGGGGGTGGGGTCTCACAGGTCCCGCCACTGTCCTCACCAGGGGGTGCCCAGGCCACAGCAGCGCAGCCTGGGGGGTGGGCAGCATCAGCTTCTCCACCTTGGCACTTCTCCCCAGGACTGCGGGTCTCACCGGGCCTGAGCTGGGCCTGGGAGGGGGCTGGGGTTGTGTCCAGGGGCTGCTAGTGCCCAGGAGCATCTGTGGACAGACCCCAGCCCCACTGCTGGGGGGTCATGCTCTCCAGACCCAGTCTCCTCCACTGAGGGACATGCCACCCCTAAGTCCCCATCGCCCTCTCATCTGCACCTGACAGCCCACCATGAGGGGTCAGGGAGAGGGGCTCTTGGGGATGTGGAGGGGTGAGGGTGGAAGTGTGCCATGCCCCCTAAGGCCGGGCTTGTTGAGGAGGCCATGAGGAGGGAAGCCCCAGGGTCCAGCTGGCAGTCAAGAGGCCCACTGATGCCCAAGGGCCCACCATTCTCGCCCGCTGCTGGCACTGTCCTGCCCAGGAAGGAGGCCAGGCTGCCGTGCCAGCAACTGCCATGACCATGTCCCATCACCCCTTGCTGCTCCCCTTGCCCGCCTGGACGTAAGGGGCAGCTGGGGACGGGCCAGAGGTCAGCATTCCACACAGTCCATCAGAGAGAGCTCAGGGCTACTAGGCAGGCCAGAGACATGGGCCAGGCTGCCCACTCCCAGAAATCCTGACGTGAGCCCCACAGCTCTGCTCCAAGCGCCTTCACCGCCCCCACGGCCCTGGAGCACCAGCCACACCGACTCTTGCTGCCTAAGCCGCCCCCCAGCTGGTGGCAGACTCACCGGGGCTTGTCTCTTCAGCCATTTCTTACACTTTTGAGATGGTTCAGACCCTCAGAAAGAGTTTGAAAAATCATGGAGACAGTGGCCACCCGTGTAGACACACAGATGGGGTGTGGGGTGCTCAGAGACAGACAGGCCTCTTCCCTCTGAGGCTTGGACGGGGGCTGCCTGCACCCTGCCAGCCCCACCCAGCACCCCACCTCCTTGCTAAGGGACCTCTATTTCCATCACACGTGGGACATTCTGGGCAAGGTGTTCCTAGGCCCATTGCCACCTGCAGTGGCTGCTTAGTTGTGTGGCTGGTCTGGCTAGTGAGAGATCCTAAGGGTTCATAGTGGAGAAGAAGCTGGAAGACTCTCCTGTGTCTGCCTCTGGATGGTGCTGTGATGCTGAGAAGGTGGCAACCACTTTGTTCCCAGCTTGGGTGAAGCCAATGCCTTGGCAGGTAAGACAGGTGAGCCAGGATCGGTGGGTCCAGGATGTAGGATGCAGTGAAGGTGAGATGCATGACGTCGTCTAGGGGTTGCGGTGGGACCCCTGCCACCCAGGGTGATTGGGACAAAAGCCAGGGGCTCCCTGGCAGCTGGACTGAAACTCCAATCCTGACCATATGCAGGTCCTGCAGTGGACAGACCCAGGTCCGAAGACCAGCTGAATGGAACAGGTGCCTGGTAAAGCCTGGCACTATCTCAGCGTCAAGCGAAGGGCCCTGAGGCTTGGGCCTGTATGCCAGCTCTCACACTCGGGGTTACACCCACAGCACGTCCTGTCTGGTCATCTCCTCCAGCCCTGACCCAGGCCTTCCTGGGTCAGAGCTAGCCTCCAGACCCACCTGCATAGATACCGATGGAGGCAGGTGGCGGGACCACAGCTCTGCCCTGCTCTCCCCTGAGCCATGCCCAGAGGTGAGGGGTAGAGGGAATCAAGTGAGCTTAAAGCACCCCAGGACCCCCAAGGAGCAGGCGTGCCTTCCCGGCTCTGGCTACTTCTCATCGGAAGCTAACTTCCGTCCCAGAGCTCCAAGGAGGCATCTCAGCGGAGGAGAGAGCAGCACCTAGATCAGAGGTCCCAGGAGCCTCAGCTCCCCTATACTACACTCGCTGTGCTGCGTGCTCCCTCTGGGCCTGTGGTCTGGGGCCAGTGCACCATCCTGGATGCTGACAGGTGCAGGATGGGGGAGGCCCACCACGATGGAGGGCTGGCTGCTTTAACTTGGTTCCACCTACCGCCAGGCCCCCTACTGGGGGGTGCACACGAGGCTTCTCCCGGGCCCACGTGTGTCCAGGAGTGGACGGGTGCCCAGGGAGCCCTGCTCACCTTTCACAGCACCCAGGCTCTCCAACCAGACCCAGGCCCTGGCAGAGAGGGCCAGAGGAGGGCACATGCTTCCAGGAGGGGGCGCGGTGATGGGTGTGGGGCTGCAGCTCGTGCGAGGGCACCAGCTCTGGCCCAACAGGGTCTGGGACCACTTTCTACATCCGGCTAATGGACCATCACCTCACAGCGTTCAAACTTTCAACCATCTCTCCCTCTACTTTTCAAGGACTAAACTGTAACTTCTTGTTTTGCCTTTGGCAGAGGAAAAGGAAGCATCCATGCTGGAAGAAAGGAGTATGCGATGACTCTCAAGGGCCTCGGGCTATTCTCAGAGGAAAAGTCCTGGCCCTCGTTAGGTCCTAACAGGCGTCCTCTGCGCCCGGATGCAGAGAACAAGTTCGTTCACTTCACTCCCTAAGAGGCTTGTGATTTTGGGGACTGTGGTGCAGGAGGTCAGCCTGGCTCCCATGTGGGCAGCGGTAAGAGCAAAGTGGAAGGCCGCTCTGGGGCTCTCCGTGTGGGAGGCTGCTGACAAGCACAGCCTCATCCAGAC